GGGCCTTGCAAGTAGACCCGGGGAGGTGCCCAGTGTGTGCTGGGCAGCTTAGAAGACAGGGGCCACTGGTGGCTTTGTTCTCATTCCTTAGAGTCCTTTTGTTTTCTATTTCTGCTTGAATTATGTATCCGTACTAGCATCCACTGAAAAATTTTTGAGCACTTACAACGGCCAGACACTCGGGACAAAAAGGTGAGCAAAGCTGCCACTGCCCTATCTCCATGGGGGTGACAGTGTCCCACGGAAGAACTGCAGAAGAACATCAGTAGCCAACCAGCTTAAACCCGGTGCTAAAAGAACGGAAATAACCACAGCCTTGAATCGAATTGCATAACTGAGGGTCCTTAATAATGCCGCCTCCCTAGCGCCCCCTGCTGCCTCCATCTTGCACGGGAGGCCGCCGGCCAGCGCTTTCCCTGCCTGCTCCAACACCGAGCATAACTCTGGGGTGGGCCGGACACACCCGTGAGCATCTTCCTGGCTGCCAGGAGCATCTGAGCTGGAGACTCCCTGGCTTCAGGCTCCAGAAAGGAAATGGAGATGGAACAGAGTCTAACAGCGAATCTGGAGTGGACAGTGTGTCCTCAGAGGGAAAGGGGTCTCCACGCCCAAGACAATTCCAGGCGTTGGGGACTGCAGGGAGTGGGGCGCCTGCGCGGAGGGGATGAAAAGCAGGAAGGTGAAAAGGACAGGCGGAAGCTGACTAGATGTTTATCTCTGTTCCCGGGGCTGGGAGTTTTCTGTGTCTTCCAGTGAGCCCTTTTTTTTTGCTTTTAGGAGAATAATTCTATTTCATGAAAGGATGCAGTTTCATAAAATCGCTGTAAAAACTCAAGGATGTGCATGAGTTTCCCTTCACCAAAGACCTCTATTTAATGGGCATATAGGAAGCTAGCTCATTTCCTAGAGCATCAGTTCCTGGAAGAAGTGACTGGAGTCTTTCATGTATTCTGAGCCACTACTGGGCACGTGGGTGGATTTGGCTTATGCAGAAAGGTGGGAAAACTCAGGATCAGGAGGCCTCGGTTTTCTTTCTGGTTCTGCCACTCATTGGCTGTGTGACTTTGGGCAAGTCCCTCTCCTCTGGGCCTTATTCTTTTCATCTGTAAGTGCCCTTGTGGCTCCAGCATTCCATGAAGGCTTTGAGAGGCAGAGGTCAGGCAGCTGAGGTGCAGGGAGGGGGCGCGGGGCGGGGGGGTGCGGGATGGAAGGCAGAATGTGGGAGCTTGATCGGTGGTATCACTCCAGGCTCCAGGAGGACGAAATGACGGGGAACCGCAGTGACTGAGGAAAGCTCAAGGAACCAGACACCCCATTTTCTTCCCCTGAGTATGTGCAACGGCATTTGCCGGCAACCATAGAGAATATTGAGAATGACTGGTGGTAACTTTTGCCTGGCTTTCAAAAACTGGGCTGGACCAAGTGAAAATGCCAGGGATTGTTCAACCCTTCAGCGCCGACCGGCACCCACACCGCTCCACAGTGACTGCTCTTGCCAGAGACTGGCCTACAGCTTAGGGAGATAAAGAAAAAGAGAGGGATTGAGTATGGGCGGAAGAGACACAGATTCACTAAGGGGCAGCGGGCTCACTGCAGGGGCCAGGGGAACTCGCGAGCGCGCGCTCCCGGACGACGCGGGGCACCGCGGGCGGAGATCAGTTCACGGGAGGCGGGGGCCCTGACTGCTGGTCGGGTCTTCTTCCTTTAGGAGCTCAGGGATCCTGAGCGCACTGCAGGCAGCAGGATTGCATACATTTCTCTTTATTTGAACCTCCATGGCGTTGGCAGCCCAGGAACAATCTTAATCCTTTTTTTGTTTGTTTTGTTTTTTGTTTTTTGTTTTGTTTTTTTAATTTTTTGTTTATTGCAGTAACATTGGTTTATAACATTGTAAAAATTTCAGGTGTACATCATTGTACTTCTATTTCTGCATGGACTACATCATGTTCACCACCAAAATACTAATTACAACCCATCACCACACATATGTACCGGATTATCCCTTTCACCCTCCTCCCTCCCCCCTTCCCCTCTGGTAACCACCAATCCAACCTCTGTCCCTATGTGTTTGTTTATTGTTGTTATTATCTACTACTTAATGAAGGAAATCATACGGTATTTGACCTTCTCCCTCTGACTTATTTCACTTTGCATTATACCCTCAATGTCCATCCATGTTGTCACAAATGGCCTTTTAACAGAAAGAAAACATTCTTAAGAGTAAAGCCACATACATTCGAACCTAGTCCTTGCTGATTATAAGATATTAAAAAAAATCATTTCCGTGATATTGATCTGATTCAGGAACTGAGAATAGTACCCCTTCGTCAGCTGTAAACAGACACCCATTTGTAAATGTCTCAAGTTCAGATCTAACCTGAGAACCAATCAAATAGGAATAGACACTTTAGAGCAAAATGTGTTTTCCCAGTCTCAAGGCGAGTCTGCGGGGGCACATGAAATACTTACTTCACAGATATTGACGATGTCATTGGTGTCCGATGACGTGTCCTTGTTCAAGGGCAACATTGTTTTAAAACTTCCTGGTGAGGCTACTGCCCACGTTCCGATTTGCACGGACCTCCTGCCGTTCTTGGTACATTTGGTGAGTTTTTTCATTTGTTTGTTTGTTTTTTTTTTTCTCTGTGGGTTTATTAATGTAAAGCAGGGATTATTAACCCAGGGTCCAGAAAGCCCGTGAGTTTGGACGGGGAAAAAAATCACATCTTTGTTTTCACCACCTTCTAACTAAAATTTAGGATTAACATTTGATTCCATGATGGATACAGCCAAAAATCCGAAGTTGTGTTAGTCACCACCAACGGAAATCGCAGACGTTTTCCATTCCATTCCAGCTACTGCATGGCACCTGCTTACACTCGAACTACTTCGAAATTAGACTCCCTTCCACTAGGCCTGGTTTTAATGTCTTAATAAAGGATATGTGTATTTCAAATTTTTAATATTTTGATAATTGTATTTCAACATCATGTGTTTCCTTTGTAAGCCTATGTATTATTTACATTTACAAACATCTTCCTGAGAAGGGATCCACAGGTTTCATCAGTGGGGGTCATGGCACATGCATGGGCACAAGTGCACACACGCACAAACACACGGTAAGAACTGGTCTAGAGGCTAACATTGACGTTGATGCCCGAGATGCAAGACTGGAATTAGGAGGTTCTCCCAAAGATACACCACACTTGTTTGAAAGCTGGTGGCAAGGGAAGAGGTCTGCTTCCAACACTTCTACAGGACTGCTGCTCCCTGAAGCCTGGGGGCCTGCTGCCCTTGTATTCTGCCTGTTATTTGTCTCTGTCACTGTCACAGGGACAGAGGGTCTGTGTCTTACGTGTGTCTGTATCCTCAGTTCCTAGCACAGTGCCTGACACAGAGCAGGTTCTCAACAAAGTTTGCAGAGTAAATGGAAACATAAACTAGAAATAAATCCTTGTTGAAATCGGCACACAAGTAGTCGTGCTGGATGAGGTGGACACCTGTCAGGGTGTCTGTGCCAAATAGAGTGGGGACATAGGGACTATTATGGGGATGTGGGGTGCATAAAGTGGGGACATTCGTCTTTTAAAAGAAATTCAAAACAGACTTCTGGAAAGTTATTTTCTAAGAATCTTGTTTGCAGTGTGAAAACAACCCCACAACCCCATGTGCATGGCCCCACCCAGCCTCACGTGGCCACCTCTTTCTCCCCCCCACGCGGGGCTGGCTCCTCAGTATATATAAACCTCTGTGGAGCTGGGGCATGAGCCGGCAGGGCCACCCATCCAGACATCTCGCAGCACAGAAGAGCTTTCCAGAGGGAGCCTCACCCAGCCTCTGCACCGAGGGCTTCTGTGCACGTTGCCACAGCTGCAGGCCCAAGATGCCGGCTGTGCAGCTGCTGCTTCTGGCCTGTGTGCTGTGGGAGGCGGGGGCCAGGACAGCCCAGCTCCTGAAGGCCAATGACCGGAGTGGCCAATGCCAGTACACCTTCAGTGTGGCCAGCCCCAATGAGTCCAGCTGCCCCGAGCAGGGCCAGGCCATGTCAGCCATCCAGGACCTGCAGAGAGACAGCAGCGCCCAGCGCGCAGACCTGGAGTCCATCAAAGGCCGGCTCAGCTCCCTGGAGGGCCTCCTCCACCGGCTGACCCTGGACCAGGCTGCCGGGCCCGTGGAGGCCCAAGAGGGGCTGCAGAGGGAGCTGGGCACCCTGAGGAGGGAGCGAGACCAGCTGGAAACCCAAACCAGGGAGCTGCAGACAGCCTACAGCAACCTCCTCCGCGACAAGACAGCCCTGGAGGAAGAGAAGAGGCGTCTGGGGGCCGAGAAGGAGGATCTGGCCAGGAGGTTGGAAAGCAGCAGCCAGGAGGTGGCACGGCTGAGGAGGGACCAGTGTCCCCAGGCCCACAGCTCCTCTCAGGACGGGCCACCAGGCTCCAGGGAAGGTAAGAGTGTGGGGGGCAGGGGCCTCGGAGTCCGGAAGGTGACATGGCGCATGACAACCTGTTACAGGTGGCCCAGGCCTGCCCTTCCTGCCCCTCCTTCTCCCAGAGACGGCACATGCAGCGCGAGGCAGCTGAATTGCGGAGGGCAAAGCAGTCACTTTCACGTACTGCCAGTGACTTCCCTTCTGAGAGTTCTGTTGAGGTTCGTGGTCCCGAGTTCTTGTGCCTGTCCATGACAGTTTGCACAGTCCCCTAGCAAAAGGAGAACTAAGAGGACCAGGGGAGATGCACATGTGTATGATCAGCAGACGGTCGCCACCCGTCCTTTTGAGAAAACTATCCTTTTGTGAATCTTTGTTCGGAAGTTGTGTTTAACGCCTTTGGTGTTAAAAATGACTTCTATTTATGAAATAACAATAGATGTATGAAATGATGATAAGTGGTGGGTTTATTTGTTTTTTAAATGCCCTACTTTGGCAAAATAAACAGGCGGTAACCCCTTGTCAGTTACCTCAATATGCTGTTGTAGGGCCGGCTCCGTGGCTTAGCGGTTAAGTGCGCACGCTCTGATGCTGGCGGCCCGGGTTCGGATCCCGGGCGCGCCCCGAGGCACCACTTCTCCGTCCAACGCGAGGCCGAGTCCCATGTACAGCAACTAGAAGGATGTGAACCTATGACATGCAACTATCTACTGGGGCTTTGGGGGGAAAAAATGAATAAATAAAATCTTTAAAAAAAAAAAAAAAAAAAAAAAAAAAATATGCTGTTGTGGAAGTTTTCCTGCTCTTTGTCAGATCTAGAGCGTCTGCTTTAAGTTACCAGACAACTCCTTGAGGGGGTGTTTGCCCCCTGAGGTGCTCTTCTGTTGGTCCCAGCCCCTGCTAGAGGGGAGTCTCTGAGCGTGTGCCGGGGGAGGGGGCACACTCTCCCCACTGGTTGGGAAGACAGTATTTGTGTCACTTTTTGTGAACATTGTACTCCCAAATAGTAATGGTTTAATGAATTTTCTAATCATGAGGAAACTTGTTGCTGTTGGTTCTCTGAGCACAAATGAAAGAATCATTATTAACAGAAGTGTTAGGAGGCATTACTTATTTCAGACTGTTAACCGAATGAAGTTACATTCTCAACAAAATCCCATGTGTGTGTGTGAAAATAGGGGCCAAATGTTTTGTTTTTTTATTATCATGTGTCATTCAACAAGTCTTTGGGAATTTATGAGATGTGTTCTCTGATTTTATATTTCTTTTTGTCCTTTCCAGCTGCCCCACTGTTGAAATAAGGACAACAGCCCATTATAGTGACCCCCAGACTTGGAAGCTCTTTTCTAGCAGTGGGTTTTTTCATGAGCAGGAAATTACATTAGTACAAGAATGGAGAGCTGGACAAATGGCCTAGAGAGCATCCAACATCGCTGGCTCCTTCGTGCACACGTGGAAACTGAGGCCCAGAGAGGTTCCTCAGCTGGTCCGTAGTCACCTCGCCAGCTGGTGGCAGAGCCAGGACTAGAATTCAGGCCCTTCCACCTGAGGTTCAGTGGCCCTTCAGGACCCTGAGGTGACTGACCTCCAGTTTGTAGAACCTAAAGGTAAAAGACAGAAAAGTTACGTTTAAAGATCAGGGAAAGAAATGCTTGGAACAAAAGATCTGCTTTGAGGTCCTAGAGTTGAGGGTAAAGGGGTCTTTTGGGCGGCTGGAATCTGAGTGTGGCTGTGCTGCATGCAGGGCAGGGGGTGGGGAGTGAGGGCTAGTGGGGCTGAGTGAACAAGGGAAAGAGCTGGACTTTTTCTTACTCCACCTATAATTCACATTCTCACCACCACTGTCTTAATCATGTAATTGTTACATAGAAAAAAATCTTAGAGTCACGGAAATCACTTGTTTATACGTGTGTGTGTGTCCGTGTGTGTGTATGAGTTGAGAGGATATATATATAAAATTCTGTAGTAACAGTTTTGTAGTGAAATGTCTGTAAGCCTTTTAAACAAGCCCAAAATAGAAAAATACAGATTGCGAGAAGATAAACTAAAGTCGGTTATTAGTGTCACAGGAGAGGACCCACTTACCCCTTTATTGTGCCTCTGCTTTGGCCCGGTCCTCCCAGAGAGCAGAGCCTGGGATGGGGCTTGTGTGCAGTGGTTTGTATGGGCCGTGATCCCAGCGGGGCGAGGCAGTGACGGGGACAGTGAGACAGGGAAGGAAGGAGAGCCAACAAGGAGGAGGGGGGCCTCTCCAGTTGGTCAGCACAGTGGGCAGTGGAGGCTCAGTCCCACCGAGACCTTCTGGGGAGCTGTGTAGAATGCAGCAGAGGAAGGGAGCATTTGTCCCCCCATCCCAGACTCTGCTGGCCAAGGAGGGGATATCGCACTTCCATGATGCACAGATGTGGGCCCCCGGCTGGTTCGTGCAGAGAGTCAGAGAAGCTGGGTAGGCCAGTTGAGGTGAGGTCCCAGCAGGTGACACCTGCACAAGGCAGGTTGCCACAGCAATGGCTGGAAAAAAGTGGGCAGGATATACAGGCGGGGCCCCAGAGGTGTGCAACAGGAGCACTGCAGATTTTGCTTCCTCACCCATAGGTTGGGGACAAAAGTGTCTCGTGGGGGTTATTATGCCCTTGAAGTAACATGAGGAAGCATCCAGCAAGGTGCCTGGATTATAACCACAAACGGCTTCCTTTGCTTGAGTGCCACTGTTATTTTAAAATATTGCTCTATGATCAAAACATCAACATGTACATAACATCTCTATGACACACATTGATTCTAGAGACAGTACGTGTTGGAGCAGCACCCAGGACACTCGTTTGCTAGCTAGTCTTCACTTTCCTAGAGTATTTATGACAACCCGTAATTATGTTTCCACTCTTCTTTTTCTTCATTCTTTTCATTGATATAATATTGACCTAATTTTTCGGGCAGTGATAGAAAATAACCACAAAAATCATTACAGTGTTATTTGCCAATATGTACACAAGTATATAAAGGTATGCAAGTGAGTTAATAAATTCAGTTTCTAGATTAAGCTTTCTAGAATGTGAGTCTATAAATCAGAAGTAAGGGAGATAGGGCAGAGCATGCAGAAAATTTCCAGAATTTTGTAATAGACGTGAACTTTTCAACCACAGAAGGGCTGAATTTTAATAGAAACAAACAAACATATAAAAGCTCTAAAAAATATTTAACTACCTGGTACAATATACTCCTTAATATTTTCATAACCTCTTTTTGTTTTTCTCCCATATTCAGAATGAAATGTGAGTGATTTTGAAACATTCCAGAGAAATTTTAGTTTTGACACATCTTTATTGAGGACCATTTCATTTATAGTTTGAGCTAAGACTATTGAGGCTCAGAGAGTTTGAGTAACTTGCCCAAAGTCACACAGCTGGAACACAGCAGGACTGAACTAGGAAGCTATGACTTCTGGCCCAGTCCAGGCCCCTTCACACAACTGCTTCACTGCCTTTGGGTCTTGCATCCTCTCGCTCAGGCTTTGGTCCTCCAGCCAGACAGCTCTACTCTGGGAGTCTGACCATTGTCAGATGCTCCTGGCTGACACAACCAAGAAGAAGCCAGCAGGCTTGTAATCCAGCCAGCCCACCTGCCAACTGAGAACTGGCCTTGAGTCATTCTGGAAGCCATTCCTCGACATTAGGTTTTATTGTGGTTCTTGTTTACTCCAAAGAGAGCACATAAAGCATGGTTCCTGCCAAGAGGGATGCAAGGAGGTTGGGGGAGAGAGAGGGAGATTGAGAGAGAGACGGAGAGAAAGAGAGCACCAGAGCTGAAGGGCCCCTGCCCGAAGCCCTGGGGGCCGTGATGGCACCAGCCGGGCACCCGTGCCGCCTCTGCTTGGGCAGTGGGGCCGGAAGAGCCGGTGGGAAGACCGGGCTCTCTGAGTGCAGGGCCGGGAGCTGCGTGTGTGCTGAGCAGCCCGCTGGGATCTGAGCAGCATCTTCGCGGCTCTGGTGAGGCCTCGGTCGCAGGCTGGGTGCCATCGGGAGCCAGGAACCACACAGCAGGTTAAGTCAGGGACGGTTACTGAATCTGTGTTAACTGTGATGAACGAGCAACTATGGGGTGTAAGTAAACTGCACATGCCCCCTCGGACGGGGCGGGGAGGGCGCGGGAGGAGGGACTGAGGCGGCGGGGCCCAGCCCACGAGCGAGCGGGGAAGGCGGCCTGTGCGCCCGGCCCGGGGCCGGTGCGGAGCTGCAGCTGGCCGCCTCCGAGCGCGGGCACCGTGGAGTCGGGGCGACCGCAGAGCAGGGCCTCGGGCTCCGCGGGGGAGGCTGTGGAAGGGCCGCGGCCAGGCCGAGGCTGGCAGGTCACGGAGCAACCACACGTTGGGCCCGTGGCCGGGGCAGGGCTCCACCAGATGTCCTCGCGCTCACCCTGCCAAGCCAGCCCCCGGGAAACTGCACAGCCCTCCCTCCTCCCACGATGTCCCTCCGGCGCCCTCTCCCGAGAAGGCTTAGCACTGCGCCCATTTTTAAAATGGCTCCATTAAGGAGAAATGCCTTGTTCGTCGGAGAGCATATATGGAAGTGTGTATTCGACCCTCAGAGGCAATAAATTTATAACTGACACATCTCCACAGGGTGGAAAGGTTCACAACTGCCATGGCCTTGGCAGACATGGGTTCAAGCCCTAGTCCCACTACTTACCAGCTGTGTGACCTTGGGCAAGTTACTTAACCTCTCTGAGCCTCAGCACAGTACCTGGCTCATAGGAGGCTCTTAATAACGGTAGCAATAATTAAATGAGGTGCAGACTGCAGTCCTAAAGCTTATTCCATTTCTCCAGAACTTGTGATGGCAGATCACATAAATAATTTCCAGGAAACTGCTTTGAAATGTGGAAAGAGCTATAATTACCTGTTAATCATATCTTTTCACAAAGAAGCTGTTTTTCAGTATTTCAGTGCCAGGACTTTAGCTCTCTTCAAGGAAGTCATCTGGGAAAATGCTTGTCTTGTTTTCTTTCCCCACTTTCTTCATTCCCTCTGTGGCTAAAGAGGGCATTTATCTTCATTTTCTTCTCACTGACTTGCAGGTGTGTGCCTCTATATTTCTCAAGACATCTTTTTCTCAGTAAGTCGCTAAATTACAGGACCATCCTAGCTCATTCACGGCATAATTTGCATCAGCTGCACAGAGGAGGGAGCTGGGTGCAGGGGAGGGGTGGCAGCTGTGGGTCGGAGCTGAAGGGCAGGGGGCTGGGGTGCGGCGAGGGAACTCTCTAGATGCCACTGCAGTCGTTCTCTCTCCCGTCACATTGCCTGAAAACAGCTCCTGTATTTATTCTGAGAATTAATTGAAACAACTAAAGAAAAGAAGTTTGGATTATCCTGAGGAATAGTCTTGATGGTGAAAGGAAAACAGCTCACCTTGGGGAGCTTGCTCTACGGCCTGATTTTGAGAAATTGCCCGGCCGGGGTGGCCACACTGTGTGAGCCTCCGCTCAGTGTAGGAAGTTGGGCGGGCAAGGCAGGGGGGCTGCTCCTGACAGCCGGGGGTCGGGGCTCTGTCACTGTGTCTTAGGCCTGAGAAAGAAGGCGTGGTGATGGGAGAGGCAGGCAGACAGGGTGGCGGCCCGGGGTTCCAGGAGGCAGGGATGGTTACCCCGCACACACCGCCCCTCTCCTAACACCAAGTCCCGGTGGAGGTGTGTGGGTGGCCAGCACGGGGGAAGGAGGGGAGCTGCTGGCAGGGGTCCTACATCTGACATAGGGGATCGGCCTCGGCCCTGGGTACCCTCCTAGGTCAAGGTGATCGTTAGAGTGAAGAACAGAGGAATTTCCTCACCTCAACGGATCTTCAGACAGGGAGAAGGAGACTCAGGGAACCAAATCAACTTCCCAGGACTCTCCAGGAGCCATTTGGATGGTCTAAGAGATCCTGGTTCCCAAAGCAGCCTGGAATGAACCCCTGTTACTCCTCGGCCAAGAGGACATTGCCAGGTTATGAATTCCTCAAGGGAAGCACGGACCAGCTGTGTCTTATTCCCCTTTCACCTCCACACGTAGCCTTGCACTTACTAGGGGCTCTAGAACGGCTGCTGACTGTGTGGATAGCTCCCCAAGGCTGTGGAGAGCGCAGGCCTGCCATGTCCCGGGGACTCCCAATTGCCCTGGAGTTTGGGGTGCATATCTAGGATGTCTTCAGTTGGCTACACATTTTGACTTAAGGGTCTTAACTGCTCCCCGGCCCGCTCTAGACTGAGGGACATCCCAAGGTGGGAAGATGCACCCCTCCAGGGCGGTCACCCTCTCATGGAGGCCAGCTGAACAGCAGCCAAAGGCAGGTGGAGAGGACGTAGCGGGCGGGCCGGAGAGGGAAGTGGGTGAGATGGCTGAGCTGCCGTAACAAAGTGCCGCCCCCAGCGCCACGGCCTGGCCCACGCCTGAGAGCTTCGTAGCTGAATGCTCTCTCTACCCCCTTCCAGGGAGGAAACTTCTCTAGTCCCGTAGTTCAGCGAAGCTAAAGACCAGCAGTTATGAGAGGGCACCTTGATCCCAGACGTGTGAAAATGTGGAAGGATGTGTGGCTTAAGTTTGAGGAAACGTGGCACATCCAGGAGGGTTCAGAGTCCCAGTATAACCCTCCATGACTGTGAGGTCAGTTGAGGAGACTGAAGCAAACAAGCGATCAAAGACAGAGAATGTCCTCCTGAGCTTGGCGCCGCTGCGTGGTCCCAGCCTCAGGTGTCCAGGTGTCGCACTCGCTGCCCTCCCCGCCGGGCTGGGGACCATCAGAATAAAAAGATATGCTTACAACATTGGCCTTTTTTTATTCTGATGCTTTGACCTCTGGGCCTTGCCGACACTCCCCTGCAAGCGCACCTTTCACATGCAGACCGACCAATCCAGAGCCCACCCCCACCCCCTTCCTCTCAGGCTCTCCACTCAGGGCCGCTACCCACCAGCCCTGATCACCCCAGGCCAGGTACCAGACAACGAGGGACAGCCCTATACCCCAGGGCCTGCCCAAATTACTCAAACCAGCCAATCCTAAACCTGCTTACCCTGCCTCACCCGTTCCTTCCCACGGAAACCACAACAAAGGCTCTTGCCCATGCCTCCCCGCCCTCCTGACTGACCCCGGTGCTTGGCCTGGCCGTGTGGCCCCCTGTGGTGTGGCGTGCCCCCTCCTCTTGTCATCAGTGAGTATAACAAACTCTCTTTTCAGTGTCAATCGTCTCCTTATCTGTTGGCCTCGCCTCACCTGAATCATAATCAAACCTACATTTTAAAACAGCTAAGCCTATTCCTTGTGGCTACTGCTTTTTCTTTGTATTCAAGGACTGCTGTATGACCATAATGCTAGGCCAAAGTAGTGATGTGTGACACTGTGATGACTTAATGTCTAACCAGTGTCATCCATACCTCCTCCCTTCTCCACGGCCCAAACTCTCCCCGACATTCCTGTAGGAATCCTGCACACTCTGTTCCTTGTCCAAAACTGGTCTCAGAAAGGGATCTGACAGAATATTTCAAGTGAGCTTGTAAAACTTAAGATGTTACCTCTTACAGGGAAGTTAATTGTTCATTGTTAAATTTTGAGCACCCCAGAAGATGTTAAGGACCTTCCCAATATCCCTGAATCACACCTCACCTTCTCATAAATCAGACCTTCTAGAGAGAATTATTTTAATTGTGTACAAGCTTGCTTTATTGTATTTTGAATACCCTACTCTGTGCTAGGCACATTGCTATGAAATTTATTATTCGTGAGCTTTTTATTATGGAATTTTTCAAACGTTCACAAAAGTAGAGAGAACAACAGGAACCCCAGTGTACCCATCGCTCAGCTCCGACAGTTGTCAGCATATCCAGTCTTGTTTTATCCTCCCTTTCCCTCCTCCCTGCCCCCCATATATTATCTTAAAACAAATCTCAAACATCGTCATTTCTTTGGAAGCCTATATAACGCCATCCTCAACATCGTCATGGGCCATTTTTCCTCACAGTACAATTTTGTCTCTTTCTTTTAATATAGTTTCTAAATGGAATTTGGAGAACCTGGACTTCCAGGAACTAAAGTCAGAGTTAACTGAGGTTTCTGCTTCCGGAATCTTGAAGGAGAGTCCATCAGGCCAACCCAGGAGTGAAGAGGGAGACACTGGTATGAAGTTAACTTTCTTCTCTTTTGTACCCACATGGTCTTTATCTGTGTCTAGTTCTGTGTTCACAGTCAGTCAGCTCACCTTGGGGGGTGGGGGGAGGACAAGTAACTTCCCTGAGAGCAGAGGCAGGAAGGGGGAGAGGAACAGACTCCCTTTCTGCTCCTTTTCCAGGGCATGCCGGCAGGAAGTTGGCCCTTCTCTAGCAAAGCCTGTGTCTTATCATCCACACTTGGGATAGTGGGCTGGGCTCGGCTGGGGAAGATGAGAGATGCATTTATTTCACCTACTTGATTGTCACATGGAACTAATTACACCTGAAAAGGTACATTTTTTCAGTAGATCCTTCATATCTTTATCTGAGGGCCAGATGGACACCATGTACCACCTCAGCACACAGTCTGTTACTAAAGATATCTTTTCTGAATTTGGTACTTAGGAAAAGTACAATTGTCCCTCTCCCAAGTGTTCCCTGAAAGCCTGACTTTAGGACAAAGACTGTGGTTTTCAGAAACTGTGACCATCCATGTTATTCACAGTTATTGCCAGCCCTGAAGGGCAGCATGGGGATGCCGACTTCTGAAATAGTCAAAATATGGTGCCCCGAGATCCGAGCAGCAAAGAGTTTCCACCTTCTACAGGGAAATTGAAGGTGCCCATTAAAGTACAGAGATTTGTTGTGATTCAGCTAAATCTACATTTTCAACCCTCTCTTCATTACATTAAAAAAGTAATATTTAGGTTTTGTTGTATTAATAGGATGCCTGAAATATGTCGTCCATCTGTTAGGGCTTGAAAAACTTTGTTTTATAGAGATGATTATCATGACTTGATTTTTGTCTCATTTTAAAGTAATGAAATAAATCAGACATGAAAGTCATAAAGAGTAATCTAATGAACGCCCACGAGACCCCGCCCAGCTGCAGTCAATATTACACACAGAGTTGGAAGCCCTCTGAGCAGCCTTCCCCTTTATGACTGATGCCGAGTGGAAGTTCAGTTCATATCACACACCGATCGCAAACATTTGCCGGGCGTTTACTCCAGACCAAGCGCTTAACAGGCATAATTACATTTAAAACGTACAACAGCCCTACTACCCAAAACACTATCGTTATCCCCCTTTACAAATGAGGACACAGGCTTAGAGAGCTAAGCAGCGGGCGGAAAGCCACACCCCCGGCGGGCGGCAGAGCTCGGGCGCCTGCTGCGCGCACAGCCGGCGGACGAGCGTTTTGTGCTTTGTCTGTTTTGAATTCACCAGGATGCGGAGACCTCGTGTGGGTGGGAGAGCCCCTCACTCTGAGAACAGCGGAAGCGATCGCTGGCAAGTACGGCGTGTGGATGCGAGACCCCCGGCCCGCGCACCCCGCTACCCGGGAGACCACGTGGAGAATCGACACCGTGGGCACCGACGTCCGCCGGGTGTTTGAGTACGAGCTCGGCAGCCAGTTCCTGCAGGGCTACCCTTCCAAGGTCCACGTGCTGCCCAGGCCGCTGGAGAGCACGGGCGCCGTGGTGTACGCGGGGAGCCTCTACTTCCAGGGGGCCGAGTCCAGAACGGTGGTCAGGTATGAGCTGAACACCGAGACAGTGAGGGCCGAGAGGGAGCTGCCCGGAGCCGGCTACCACGGGCGCTTCCCGTATTCGTGGGGCGGCTACACGGACATTGACCTGGCTGTGGATGAGACGGGCCTCTGGGTCATCTACAGCACCGAGGAGGCCAAAGGCGCCATTGTCCTCTCCAAACTGAACCCGGAGAGTCTGGAACTTGAACAAACCTGGGAGACTAACATCCGTAAGCAGTCAGTCGCCAACGCCTTCATCATCTGCGGTACCTTGTACACCGTCAGCAGCTACTCATCGCCTGATGCTGCCGTCAACTTTGCGTACGACACAAGCACCGGTAGCAGCAGGGCCCTGACCATCCCCTTCAAGAACCGCTACCAGTACAGCAGCATGATTGACTACAACCCCCTGGAGAAGAAGCTCTTTGCCTGGGACAACTTCAACATGGTCACCTACGACATCAAGCTCTCCAAGATGTGAAGAGCCGCCAGGTCATGTCAGAAACGGCAGGAGGAAATGATGTTCAGGGCCCCCGAGGGGAGAGCCAGCCAGCCAAAGCCCGTGTGGCCTTTCTCTGCTTTCCAAGCTGTCATTAATTCAGAAGAATGTGCATTGTCACCATGTCTGACTGGCCAGGAATAGCAATCTTGGCGTTTAGACAGTTTCACAATAGATATTTTCTTCTGTCAGCATTTAAAGAGATGTTTAACCAAAATAGTTTAAGTCTTCTGGTGATTTGGGGCAAAAGCTGTAATGCATAGTAGTTTCCTCATGAAAACCACAAGGCTTTTTATCAATGGCCCTCACTGGCTAAAGAGGATAAGTTTGGAGGAGAAGAATTTGGGAAAAACATGTGGCCCCATGTAGAATCCAGGGCCACTCCCTGCTCTTGCATGTTGCATGGTTACCATAAGCCACAACAGAACCAGCACTTCTAAAGGAAGGGGACCAGCTCTTGTGGCAGTACTGAACATGTGTAAGATGCGTTTACTATGGTTGGCTTCTAATGCTTCAGGGAGAGTCCAGTCGGGTATTACATAAGCTTTGTCCTGTGAAATAAAATTATCTTACACAGCATTCTCCTTGAACTTTGTGGGATACTTTATGAGAACAGCACAGATTCCAACATCAGATAATTCCTCTGGGTTGGGAGCTGTGATTGCAGGATGCACAAGTGTGTAGTGTGTGTCCTAATCTCCTCTTTCATGTGGACAAGAGTCAAATTGAATTAGGTCCTACCCTAATGACTTTATTTAATTCCCTCTTGAAAGGCCCTATCTCCAAAGACAGTCACATTCTGAGGTACTGGGTGTTAGGACTTTAACATATGAATTTGAGGGGGACACAGTTCAGCCCATACCAATTGGGTATTACCACTCTACCCCACTGATAGCAGACTCTTCAAGACTAGAAAACCTAGAAGTCAGAATGCATGAACTCATTCACCCTTCTAAGCATCTCTAGATGCCAGGTGTTGAATGAAAAGTGGAAGGTGAGGAGACCCCTTTGTGTGATGAGATGAGCAGTGACAGCGCACGTACAGGTGAGGTGAATCTGCTTGCACAGCTCTGCCTTTTCTTTCCCTCCATCAGCAACTGCCTCTGGCTTCGGGATGGAGGAAGAGGGTGAATGGAGGAGGAACAGATGGAAGAAGGAAACTCTTCACTTAGCTTCCAGGACATCCGTCTCCTGCTACATCATTCATTGCTCCTTCCTGGTTTCTTTTGCTGGTTCCTCTTTTTAGCCTGTATTAGTCAGGGTTCTCCAGAGAAACAGAACCAATAGAATATATAGATTTATTATACAAAATTGGCTCATGTGATTATAGGAGCTGAAAAGTCCCACAATCTGCCATCTGCAAGCTGGAGACCCAGGCAAGCTGGTGGTGTAATTCAGTCCACTTCCAAAGACCTGAGAACCAGGGGAGCTGATGGTGTAAAACGCATTCCAAGGAAAGGGCAGCAGGCAGGCAGGAGGCAAAAGGAGCAAATTCCTCCTTCCTCCACGTTTTTGTTCTGTTCAGGCCCTAAATGGATTGGATGATGCCTACTCACGCTGGGGGGGTGGGAGGGTGCTTTACTGAGTCCACCGATTCAAATGCCAATTTCATCTGGAAACACCCTTGAAGACACATCCAGAATAATGTTTAATCTGGCCCCCCTTGGACCAGTCAAATTAACACATAAAATTAACCCTCACATAGTCCCAGTCTCTTAAGATGGAAGTGCCCCTGGCCTCAGTTTAGGGTCTCTTCTTTATCTACTCGTTCCTCTGGTGATCTCAGGTAGCATCATGGCTTTAAATGCCATCTCTATGCTGATGACCCCCCAGATTTATATCTCCAGCCCAGACACTACTCCTGAACTCCAGATTCACATATTCATTGGCCCCCTTGTCATCTCCATTTAAATGTCTATTAGGCATAACAAACCAGCAAAAATAGAATTTCTGAGTTTCTCTACCCTACCCGCCTCAGACACACCAAATCTGTTCTTGAAGTTGATGGAAACTCCATCTCCCCAGTTGCTCACACCAAAAATCTTAGAGTCATCCTTCACTCCTCTCTCATAACCCCACATCCAATCCATCAGAAACTTTTGTTGGTTCCGTCTTCAAATATATATGTTTAGAATCTAACCACATTTCTCTGCTACTTGTCCAAATTACCATCGTCTTTTTCCTGGATTACTACAATAGCCTCTAAAGTGATTCTGCTCCCTCCCCGTATACGGCCTATTCTCCAAACAGCAGCCAGAGTGACCCCATTAAAGTACAAGCCAGATCTTGGCTCTCCTTTTCTGAAAATGCTTCATGGCTTCCCATCTTATTCAAAGTCAGAGTCCGTACAAAGCCCCATATGATCTACCTCCCTCCCCCACCGCTGTAACTTAGTCTTCTACTAACGTCCCCTGATTCCCTCTGCTCAGCCAAGCCCCCTCACCCCCGTGCCCTTTGAATACACCAGGCACACTTTGGTCTTAAGGCCTTTGCACTGCTCTTCCCTGTGTCCCAGATGTCCTCACACCTAACTCCATCACTGTCTTAAGTCTGTACTCAAATGTCGCCTTCCTAACGAGGCCTACCCAGACCACCCTATTTAAAACTGCAGCTGACCCACTGCTTCCTCTGCCGCTTCTAATCTTCCTTACCCGGTCATATCACTTTAAAATTTCCTTTCCATTATATTTATCACCTCCTGATGTATGTTTTTAAGTTGTATATAGTACTTTTTGTCAGTCTTTCCCCACTGGAATGTAAATTCCATGGGGGCAAAAGGATTGATTGTTCAATATTATGACCCTAGAAGAAATCCCAGCTCACAAAGAAAGTACTCAATAATATTTTTTAAACAAATTAATGAACAGAAAAATCATCCTGGAACTTGCTCAAAAATAACTGGAAATAAAACTAAAAGAATTAGTCCTTCCCACTCTTTCTCCTCCTTGATTCTATTCTTAACTGGCTGTGTGACCTTAGACAAATCACATAATCTCTATTCCAGCACATCTAACAGAACTTTCTGTAATGATAGTGATGTTCTAGATCTGCAACATCCAATATGGTAGCCACCAGCCACATGTAGCTACTGAGCACTTGAAATGTGGCTAGTGCCACTGAGGAACTGAATTTTCTATTTTGTTTAATTTTAATGAATTCAAATGTAAGTAGCCACATGTGGCTGGTGGCTACCCTACTGGACAGCGCAGGTTTGTTTCCTCATCTGACTGAGGATGAGGTCATGTGTATGTCAAGCACCCAGCTGGCAGTGACAGGTGCTCTGTGCCCGCTCCCCCCACCTCATGCTGCTGCAGCAGAGCCCAAGTAAGGAATCTGGCTTCCACACCCACAGCACAGCCTGCTGATGGTGTGGGTAGAGGGACCCAAGCACATTTCAAGGGCAAGTTTGGAAAGAGAACACCCATGAGGACTTTATGAAGAAATGGATGAAATAAAAGATGACACCTAGAGACATTTCCCATGTATGGATTTGAATTATCACATTTTTGATGCTTTCAAACTATTTGGAAGAGCCCTGGAAGTCCTCAGAGGTGCTTTGGGGTCAGCAGAGCGACTTGAGTATGGGATCTGAGCAATACACTTCTCCTCCCCTACTAGGTCACTCTGCACTTGGCTGCTTCTCAGGTTAGGGTTCTTCTGTTACAGAGTTTGAAATTCACTTAAATCTCCTAGAAGCAAACTTAGAAAATATTGTGCATAAATGTGAAACGCAACCAGCCTCGCACCAGCACAGGAGACGGGACACAGCTCAGTCAAACTAGCACGAAACTGTCATGTCCCAGGCTGAGTTTTGGAAACCTAAATACCTCAGAGTCCTCTGGAGCCCAAAGGTTTAAAGTCACAGAGGCCTGGACTTTCCACTAATCCAGATATAGTAACAAACATTGAGGCCTGATAATTCCTTTTTTAAATTCAAATACAACTGACTACATGACATAAATTAAAGATCATATATATACATATATCAGAGACTTGACCTGAAAAACCAAAGATCTCTCTAAGGGCATTAGTGAGGACGAACAATGCTCAACAGTGGTTGTAGGAGAAGAAAAACAGGAGAGAAAACACAAAGATCTTCCAAACAGTCTTCAAAGACAACTCCAAGGACTTCACTGAAACTGTTGTCTGGAGTTTCACGTAAGTCCACTTCAAAATGACTGATGTTTTCCAGGCTAGGAGACTTGGGAGTCCTCGGCTGGAGAAGGAGGTGGGGGTGGGGGTACCGTGGGCCCAGCTGTGCCAGGAGGAGGGACTTGTTCCAAATCCAAACTGGAGAGCATCTCCCGGGCTTCATCACCTTTCTTGGTAAATCTCTCTTCTCTGGGAGGAAAGGCACACTGAATGTTATTCAAATAGAGATAGGATTTAAAAAAAGGAGAAAAAAAGAAGCCCCCCAGACTCCGGCACCTAAAGGGAACCACTTAACATGTTGGAGGACATCCTTCCTGACTATCTACATGCTCACAGAGCTGTCACCTGGCAAAATGAGATACATTCTATTTACACTTTAATTGTGAGTCAGCTCTTCTCAGAGAGCTCCACTGTCTCCACCGGCCCCGTGGAACCACTGGAGCTGGGGTCCACCCCCAGCAGCCGGCTCTCTGTAAGTTCAGCCTAGGGCAGGCTCTCTCTCGAGGGGTCATTTGCATTCCAGCTGTTCTCTGGCCAGTTCAGCCTTAAGCTCACTTCATCTCTCCTTTCTGCCTAATTTACCCCCTGCCCCAGCCTGCTGAGTTTGCCTCCCCTTCTGCTGGGGTGTACCATGGAGTTCTCATCCTACTCGGGGCTGGGCAAACCCTGCCTTCAAGGGAATAGGACTCGCCTGTCAAGTGATCGAAGGTTCAGATTTAACTGTTCCCCGAGTACCTACTACGTTCCAGGGACTTGGAAATGAACTAGAAACTACATGCAGATCCTCAGCCCCACCTCAAAGGAAGTTTTTCAGCTGAGGAAGCTGAGACAGAAGGTGATTTACCCAGGTCGGGTCATGTGGCCAGTAAAGGTGGAAGTGAAATCCAAACTCAGATCTCCTGACCGCAAGTTCCCTGCTGCTTCTCCCTGTCACAGCTGATCCCCAATGTTGCTGAAGGGACCGGGAGGGGTGAATGGGGAAGGGGCTGGGAGAGGGCCCAGAATTGTGGGGTCTCTTCCTTCTTGGGTGGATGTAGCACAGTGACCACAGCCCCTGGGAGACAATGCCCACTCTCACAGTCTAAACTGGTATGAAGTTTGCCATGTGCCCCATCAGTAAAGATTTTCAACACCCCCATGTCTATGTTAACTAAGAAATTGTACATAACTTTTTATCAGTTCACTAATAACTTACATCCCAATAGACTCTAAGGTCAAGAAGCATTGTGAACAATATTGGTGGAAGTCCATAGTTCAAATCAATTATTTTCATTTTTTGGCCAACTTCTTATCAGGTTTAGTAAAATATATATATATATTTTGCTGAGGAAAATTGGCCCTGAGCTAACATCTGTTGCCAATCTTCCTCTTTTTGTATGTGAGCCGCCACCACAGGATGGCCACTGACAGACGAGTGGTGGAGGTCT